TTTACTCTGTACATATAAAAACACATATATGCTGGTAAACACTGAGAAACTGAAATGTTGACTTTAATTAAATGTAGGCCTATTATATAAAATCTCACATAACTGTCTATCTATTACGTTTAAATAAAACATAATAATTTGCATATTAATAATCATTGCTTTCAATTAACCTAATGCAGTAATGTAACATTTGTAGACATAATGCATTTAGACTGCCAAGGCACACANTTTCATTTAGCTGACGCCTTTATCCAAAGCGACTTACAATGACCAATTACGCCCTTGGGTAAGGCACTTAGCCCTCAGTTACTCCAGGGAGAATGTCCCTGTAATTGGTCATTGTAAGTCGCTTTGGATAAAGGCGTCAGCTAAATGAAATGTAATGTAATGTAAGTGTTTAGCTATAAATACTGTAGTGTATGTGTGTGCGCGCGCGTGCATGTGTGTGCGAGCGCGGGGGTGTGCGCGCGCGCGCGCGTGTGTGTGTGTGTGTGTGTGTGTGTGTGTGTGTGTGTGTGTGTAAACTAAATGTTAAGGCTCAGTGCAGTTTCTGTGGGAGGGAGGTTCTGACAGTGTGGACACATCTCACACACATATACTGGAGCGGAGCGAGCAGAGCACACACACAGAGACACACACCGCCGAGGTTTACCTGTGCTGCTGGATTGTTTTCTCTTCGGAAGCCTCTGACAGGTGACCTGTCAACATGTTCAAGAAAAAGAGCAAGACCACGGCGATAACACAGCCTCAGACCAGGTGAGTCAGGGACTACTTTACCGACCTGTGGCGGAGTGTCTTATCCCGCGGAGCTGGGCTGTTGTACTTGTACTGCAAACTTCATTTACAATCTTTAAAGTGACCTTGCTCTGCGGTAAAGTCACATACATAACTTGACCTAATCCTTAAAACTGTATGATTTAATGGAGTAACATGACGATGAAATCCTTCCGCAAAGGTTCTGGACAAACGTCTTCCACTGAATTACTCTGCTATAAAAATAAAAGTGAAAAGTAGGCTATGGTATGACACACCTGCCGGATTAAACATATTTCCGCATTGATTCACTTAATAACAAAAAAGTTCTTTAAACCATATCGTTCAAATGCCGTCATTGTGATTCAGTATATTTTCTAACAGAGTATGGTCTGACGTTTGTCCAAGTGAAACCCTCTGCACGACTAAAGATCGTTTAAAAGTCAATGAGTTATTTGATAATGATTACCTAATGGGAATGTGTTGGTAGACAAAAATAAGAGGTTGTGGATCAGATTGCATAATGTGAGCTTTAATTCAGGGAGGGTGTGGTGGACAGGCGGTAGTAAAGTCGTAGTAACTGGTTTGATAAGTATTCGCTCCTCCTCGGAGACAATGTGAGGAACGGCCTCTCCCACTGCACCAAGCCCTGTGAGGGAGAAGTACTCACATCTGGTACTTGAGTAAAAGTAGAAGTGTAGGAATACTTCACATTCAAATTGTTCCTCAAGTAAAAGTAGAAAAGTATTAGCATCATATAGTTGAAGTAGCGACAGTGAAAGTATTCATTGTGCAGATTGGTCCATTTCAGAATAATATATATGATATGTTTTATAATGATTGATCATTAAAGTGTTCTCAAAGCTGGTAAAGGTGCAGATAGTTTGAATGACTTTGTATACTGTAGGGTAGCTTGTGGATTTACTCCAGGTGGAACTAAAGTCTGATTTAACACTTGATTATATTTCACATCATTCATCCACATCCGTGAAGTAACTAAAGGTATTAAATACATGTAGAGGAGTAAAAGTACACAATATACCCCTGATTTGTAGTAGAAGTACCAAGTAGCATTAAACATGGAAATAATCAAGTAAAGTACAAATATCTCAACATTGCACTTAAGTACAGTACTTGAGTGTACTTAGTTACTTCCCGCTCTGCTCCCTGTCCCTTTCTCTGGGCTTTAGTTGTGTGGGGAGATCAGTCTGGTTTCTTACCCTGGACACATCTAGAGCATTTGAGGCTGAGATTGGTTTACTAAATCATTATCCCACTGCATGTCAAACACATGTCCTTCCAGCTCTCTGCCTTTTAAAGACACTACCTGTAGAGCACCTGCTCCTGTCACTCAGCAGGTAATAGGGGGTTAGGGGAAACAAGTCACTGACAGTATCAAGTTCCAAAAGACCAACTAATCTACCTCTCAGATGGTTCTCAGTGCAAGGTGTGTTCCTCTCACTGCCACACCCACCTGTGAGAGGAAAGGAATGCCCTATCTATCTCCTGCCATGCAACCCAGGGTCTTTGTTCTTGGCTCTGAAATGGAATCTCATTTATTTAAAGAATTGTAATCGCTTGTATTGCCAAATAGGTTTGCACATACGAGGACACTTTTTTTTTTAAAGAAATAAGAACTTTATGTATTAGGCACATAGTTATAAAAGTCCATACTAATGTACATGTTAGTACATGAAACAATAAGGATGCATTAGTAAAGATAGGTCCTCATTGTATTCACTGCTGAACACCTTCACACTGTCAACCACGCACACACACACACACCCACACGCACACACACACACACACACACACACACGTAGGTACAATGTTGGAATCTGAATAATGCAGCTCCACCCTCTTCTTATTCAGTTAGTGTTTGCTGCTGTGATCTCAGGTGTCTGGCAGGCTCTCAGGCCGAGCCAGGCTAATGACAGATTCAAGTCCAAGCCTGAGATCTGAACATGGCTATCTCCTGAAGCTGGGGATTAGTGCCTCCCTGTGCATCCAAACAATAATAAATTGAAAGGCTAGATTTGGCCTGTTACGGTTTACTCTTATTTGAAGGTAGTGAGAGAAGAATGAAACAAGACCAGGTATCCAGAGGAACTGTTAGGTTTGAAATCAATGTCCTCTCCTTTGGATGGCCTACAGGGCTCAGAGCCTCCAACAGGCTTGTGCTGCACAGAGATGTAATGTATCAACAAATGAACGTAGCGACAAACAGACGGCCAGGAGACACAAGCAGACATAAACAACCTCAAAGAGGCACAAAACAATCACAAAAAGATGTAAACATAAAGAGCAACATGACTCCCAAAGAGGCTGGAAACAATACACAGACACGTTAAAAGGACACTCTGTGTTTCATCATCCGGCCATGTGTCAGCACTGCTATGGGTGGTGTTCTCCTGTGAGGCTTTGGGACAGCACCCCCCACTCTGTGACTGAGGGCGGGGCTCTCTGCTTCTGATTGAACCCTCTCCCTGTGGAAACATCTGAGTTGTGTTTCTCAAGCTAACGCTCCAGTGCCAGTTGCTTCCCAGAAAAATCCACTCCAAGCACGAGTTAAAGCCAGTGAACCTCCCTGGATACTGTTGACAGTATGTTTTGGAGCACAGGATATGTAGTGTAGTGGGTTCATTATTGTTACATTGTGTTCAGACCTCTGAATTATGGCTAAAGAGCAGTAATCTTGCATTTGAGAAAACAGTTTTAGTTATGTAATATAAAGCTGTTGGACACATTCAGTTGCAGTCCTAACATTATAACGACAAAGGAAGCATTAGTTTACATCTGTCCTCAAATTTAGAACAAGAATATCTGTGTTTTTTCTACACATGCTCTTTTCATAACCAGTGGTTTGATCATTTGTAAACATGCAAGAAAAGAGTATTGGCTACTATGCATATCATACGTCCTGCTCCAAACAGCCAGCTGATCTCTTTCATGCTCACATCACAGGTGTGAGGTAGACATGCAGAGTGTTGCTCTGAAGCTCTCACAGAGAACTGTACGTGTTTGCTATCATGATGAGCTGTTGTGACAGAAACACTCCTCAGGGTGTTTTTCCTTCACCAGACAAACTGCCTGCTGCTTCTGCAGAACTCTACACTATACCGGTTCAAACTTGTTCTGACAGTCTTTAGTTTCATTTAATGTCCGCCCAGCTTTCATATTAAAGTCAGGGACCTGTGTGCAGCAGTGTGTTTGTGTTTCTGTGTGTGTGTGTGTGTGTGTGCGTGTGGTGTGTGTGTGTGTGTGTGTGTGTGTGTGTGTGTGCGTGCGTGAGAGGAGATGGATGGTGGCTTTAAGTTGACAGACATGGTCTCTTTTTGCCCCCACCAATACACACACACACACACACACACACACACACACACACACACACACACACACACACACACACACACACACAGAAAAACAAACAAACACACACACACACACACGCACACACACACACAGAAACACAACAATAGCATGTTTTGAGGGCAATGACTAGTATGGTATTTGCTTACATGGTGTTGATCTGTAACATTATTGTCAAACATTTACTTGGGACATAACCTAAATGGAATTCCTTCCAAAATGTATTTAAAAATAGAATAAACAAAAAGCAATGCATGGAGGTTATAAAAAGTTAAAAATAAAACAATTATTTGACTGACAAATATAAATTGGTACCAATACCACCATGTGAGGTCCAAAGAGTCCGGTAACAATGTCTGCCAAAAACAAATTATGTTAGTTTGGTCAAAAGTTGACACAGGTGTACTGAGTAGTATTTGACAGTGCTCTCTGGTGGACAAACTGTGAAATGGACACACTGTTTCTTAAATGACCTTTAACATATTTGTGTTATTTCTTACTTTCTCTTAGAAAGTTGTGAAGGAGGGCAAACGGTGCTCCATATTAACACTCTCAACATTGAGAGGAGTCCTCTGAGGGATGATTTATGTCTGCTGCATGATACGACAATAAAACCTGCTCAGTTAGTCTGTTACCCTGAGGAACCCTGAGTGTCTGCAGGCGTCCTAACCTACCAGGCAGTGGTTCATTAAACAGAGCAGCAGACACAGTGACGGTCATTATCTGTGATGAGGGCCGGGCTCCAAGAAGAAGTCAAACTGTGATTCGTAAAGTCATTAACAGCTATAAAAGTAGATAACAGTGGCGGCAGGGTCAAACTCTAATGCCTTGAGTCATTTGGAACCATCTAACCTGCTATGGTGTTTTTTTATTCTAAGACATTCTCCTAAAGCATAAAGTGCAGACAATTCGAAGCTGTGGACTTTCTTAAGTAATAGTGTTTTATTGTCTTCATTAAATATCATGGAACCTCAACTCTTTTTTGGAATTCATCAAAGTTTTAATTACATTTTTACTTATTTTTTATTTAGCCAAATGTAGCAACTTCATTTACTGGAACTTTAGTCCCGACAACAGAAACCGTGGATGTAACCGACTGTGTTTGTCCTGCAGCGCTCCGTCCACAGAACTCAGCGCTCTGATCGACAAGCTGCAGAAGAATGCTGACAAAGTGGAGAAGAACAGCTATGACATCGAGCAGAACCTCAACAAGGTACAGTGTGATAACAAAGTCTTCCTCATAGATCTGGCAACACAATCTTATTGATGTGTGTGTCAACGCCTTATCGTCAACATTCCACTTTGTGTGTGTGTGTGCGTGTGCGTGCGTGTGTGTGCGTGTGTGTGTGTGTGTGTGTGTGTGTGTGGGTGTGTATGT